ACAGACAGTTTTATCGTTCAGCATGAAGTTAGTAATTTAACACTTGGCCAGTTTGTAGTATTTGATCTATTCGATCGGGCTCAATCCAAACGTTTATGCAGGTTCTTCATAGATGACCTCCCCGTGTATTTTCCCTATGATAAGATCTACCCTGAGCAATATTCGTATATGTGCGACTTAAAGAAGGCTCTCGATGCTCAGGTATGTCTCAATTCTTGTTCAACATTTGTTTCTTCCGCTCATTTTCCCCGACTATAATATTGCTTCAATCTCAAGACGCAGTCTTAACCAATTACCACTATTTCTGCCTCTTCCTCTCCCCCTCCCTTCCCCTCGTAGGGTCATTGTTTGTTAGAAATGCCTTCGGGGACAGGGAAGACTGTATCCCTTCTCTCACTCATCGTAGCTTATATGATGGTAATAACCAAAACCAGTCGATGCTTTTCCATCCTAAAACCCTTTTCTTGATGACTTGCTAATATAAATCATTTTGATTGGCAAGCATTATGCTGAAAAGAGAAAGCTTGTCTATTGCTCTCGAACGGTACCAGAGATTGAAAAAGCGTTAGCAGAGTTACAGAATCTAATGCAGTATCGGGAAAGCTGCGGAGTAAAAGAAAAATTTTTGGGCATCGGATTGACATCCAGAAAAAATCTATGTCTACATCCCAGAGTGAGTAAGGAAAAGAAGGGAAGATCAGTAGATGCCAAGTGCAAGGGTTTGACTGCATCATGGATAAGAGAGAAAGCAAACACTGCAGACATTGAGTTGTGCGGTTTTTATGAGGTATGAAGAGTGAAACGATAATTTGAATTCGGTAAGACGCGCGTAGTCATGCTAAATGTGATCTGGCGATTTACCAAGGAACTTCAACAAGCTGATCAACAAAACCTATTGCCTGACGGTGTATACACTTTGGAAGATCTGCGGGATTACGGGAGAGAGCAAAAATACTGTCCGTACTATTTAGCTCGTTATCTCGTAAGTTGAAAACTGCAAGTCGTTTCCGCGATAATGAATAACCTCTCCCTTTTCTTGTCTCGCTACCAAGTCTCTGACCGTTATATTGGCTCTCCCCCTTCTTTTCTCAGATACCCTTTACTGACGTTATAATATACAGTTACCATTACTTGCTCGATCCAAAAGTTGCGGAATTGATATCAAAAGAATTATCAAGAGACTGCATCGTTGTATTTGACGAGGCACACAACATTGGTATTCTGGATGAGAAGAGATTGAAACTGTAAGACGCAGAGGAAGAATTACGTGTACTGATGTATTGGTATTACAATGATTGCAGATAACGTCTGCATTGAGTCGCTGAGCATTGACATAACGAAACCGAATCTGGATGCTGGCGCGAGAAGTATCACTCAACTAGCTAATAGGATTGAACAGTATGTTGGGAGTCTGTCATATTAGGATCGTGTCGTCAACAAGTGGTTGGGTTTTCTATAACAGTACAAAAAAATTGCTACATGTCGTTTTAGAATAAAACAAACAGATGCACGGAAACTGCAGGAGGAATATACGAGGCTTGTCGAAGGTTTGCGAATATGGTTTTCAGATACGCATATTCCCCAATCCCTTTACTTTTTGAGGAGTTTCTCTGACAAACGTTCTACAATTTAGGGTTACGGGAAGCAAATCGAAATCGTGAAGAGGAGGTTTTCATGGCCAATCCAGGTGAGTTAGTGTAGAATAATGAATATGGTCCCGACGTTGATATTCTGTGCTCATTATTTCAAAATGGCAATCGCGACACTAGTGTTACCCGATGATTTACTCAAAGAAGCAGTTCCTGGAAACATAAGACGTGCCGAGCATTTTGTTGCTTTTCTGA